CCCTCCCTCCCCCACACCATGGTCCCTTTCATGTCTGTCCCTTGCCTCCTCCCTGCCAATTACTCCCACTTTTCCCACCTCCCTCAGGTAACATCTGTTCCCTACTATCCCCCTTTCAGGTTGTTTCTTTCCCTTTACCACCATGTATCCTTTCCCTTTATCTGGATCCTGGTATTACATCAGAATTAATATACTCACATATAAGGAATTGGTGCTACAATCCACAAATGAGGAAGGACATACAGTCGCTTGCTTTTCTGCGTTTGTATTATTTCACTTAGTGTAACACTCTCTAGCTCCATCCATTTACCTGCAAATTTAATAATTTCATCTTTTCTTACTGCTGAATGGAACTCCATTGAGTAGATATACCACATTTTCATTGACTATTCGTTAGTTGAGGCACATTTAGGTTGTTTCCATTTCTTGGCTATTATGAAGAGAACAGCAACAAACATGGATGTATAGGTATTTCTACAGTATGATGAGTCTTTTGGGAATATGCCAAGGAGTGGTATCACTGGATCATATGGTAGGTTCATTTTTAGTTTTTCTTAGGGTTCTCCACACTGCTTTCCATAGTGGTTGCAGGAGTTCGCATTCCCACTAGCAGTGAATAAGCATTCCTCTTTCTCCACATCCTCTCCAGCATTTATAGTCTTTCATTGTCTCGATCTTTGCCAATCTGACTGGGGTAAGATGGAATCTTAAAGTGGTTTTTATCTGCATTTCTCTAATTACTAATTATGTAGAGCATTTTTTACAATCAATGGAACACAACAGAAGACCCAAGTTGACTGATATTCAACAAAGGTGCTAAGAACACACAACGGAGGAAAGACAGCATCTTCAACAAACAGTGCTGGCAAAACTGGATCTCCACCTGCAGAAAAATGAAACTTGACCCTTATCTTTCAAACCCGTCATAAAAATCAACTTCAAATGGATCAAAGACCTCAATAAAACCTGAAACTTAGAAACTACTAGAAGAAAACATAGGCAGCACCCTCCAAGATATAGGCATAGGAAAGGACTTTCTAAATCAGACACCAGCTGCTCAGGCACTAAGGTCAACAATCAATAAGCGGGACCTCATTAAATTACAAAGTTTCTATACGCAAAAGAAACAACTAAGAAAAAGAAGAGGAAACCCCATGAGTAGGAAAAAAATCTTCACCAGCTACACATCCGACAGAGGATTAATACCCAGAATATACTAAAAAACGGGCTCAAAAAACAAAGAAGAAAATAAACGAACCAACAAAAAGATGGGTGATAGACATAAACAGCAAGTTCTCAAAGGAAGACATAAAAATCACCCCTGGCTCTTACTGTCTTTCCCCTCTTTCACAATGGTTCCCTCAGTCCTGGGTGGCAGAGGTTTAATATAGGAGTACTGTTTGGGGCCAGGCACTCTGAAGTTTCTTATTCCCTACATTTTGACCAGTTGTGACTTTCTATGTTAAATCACCCTGTGCGGCATGAGGAAGCTTTGCTGGTGAGAGTTGAGAAATGCATTAATATTTTCTCTGCCCCCTATTCTGCTATGTTCCAGGAGTCTTGGGTGTAAAGGCTCCACTGTAGATGTGTCACTTATGACTGGGCATCTCACAGCCACTTATCTCTGCAACTGACCTGTTGTGGAACTCTGTAGTTGTCTCCTTAAAAAAAGAAGCTTATTTGATGAAGGGTGGAAGGTATACTTGTCTATAAATATAAGGATAAATATTTAGCATGTAGTAAGAAATTTTGTTTGTCTAGGAATATGACTAATATTTTAAACTATTCCTTGAAAATTTCATACATGTATATAATGTGTCTTAATCATATTGAACCCCACCCCCACTCTAACTCTCCCAGACCCCCCAGCACATCACTCTCCCAATTTCATGCCCACCTTTTATTTTTATTTATTTTTTAATGCACTGAGTTCACTTAGTACTGCCCACATGTGCATGGCTGAGTCATCCACCAGAACAATGGAAACCAATCAGTAGCCACCCTCCCAAAGAAAAATGGCTCTCCCTCTCCTAAAGTCATCAGTTGCCAATAGCTCCTCATCTAGGTGTGGGGCCTCCACAGTCTCTCCCCCATTTATGCTGGAAATTTTACCTGGCTTGGTCATATGAAGGTCTAGTACAGGTAACCACAGATGCTGTAAGTTGATGTGTGCAATAGCCATGCCATGCCTAGAATATAGTGTTTCACAGCACCCACAATTCTTAGCCTAAGTAGCACTATGCCAGGTGCTATGCAGTTAATATTAAAAATAAATAGTTTGGTAAAATATAACAGTAAAATGCATTAAAACTGGCAATGTTATTTCGTTGCTTCTTAGGCTTCACTAGCTTAAATAACATCTTCTATTTTAGTTTTGAAACTCTTACAAAATATTATTTTCCTCATACAGCCTTCATTGTATACAGTGCTATTTTATCTCATTTAAAACATCTTCTATAATCTACATTCAAGCTATTATCCTGAAAATCTTAAATGACAGGCCTTCAATGATCTGTTAAATTAAAATAAACAGAGAAAGAAAATGATGCTTTTGTTGCATAATGAAGAACATACCTTTTAGATCAAAATGTTTATGCCTCCCCAAAAGCCTTTATTGGAAATCAACCATACATATATTTCAGCATTTTTTTTAGAAAGACTCATTGTTTTTGCTACTAACACTGAGATGTTGGCACATGCATCTCTATTCTGTATGTGTCTGTGACAGCCTCTGTCCACATATGTGTATTTTTGTTTATCTTTAAAGCATTCTTAAGGTGCAAACAAGGATTAACCAGTTACAGCATTGGAGGCAGAAGGACTAAAGGATGGCCATGACATAAATTTCCATGATTCCTCCTCAAATATAATACATTTTTAAAAAATTTTTTGATATTTTTCGGGGGTGTGTATATCACACAGAACATTCCAAACCATCTTATTCAACTATACACCCACTTCCCAGTCAGCACCCTCCCATAGCCTCCCTCCCCCCACTAGAGCCCTTATATGCTCATATCCCTGCTACTGTCTGCTGTGTTGTGGGCACCCCAGCCAATCCCCACTAATTGCCCTTCTGTTGACTCTAGTCAGCCTATCTAGAGGTCTTTGTTTAAGGATCGTCAGCTGAATCAGTTGTTAATACTCCTTTAGATTAGATTAGGGTCTACTGTTCATTTTCCCAGCTCAATGCTGGGTTACTATTTGGGAGCTCCTTTGCTCACCCTGACCAACAACTCAAAAGAGATGGGGGGTGACTGAGGCTGGAGGAGTCAAGGTGTGGAGGGCCCAATCGACTTACCCCAGAGAGAGAAGCCTGCCTACGGGTCGGAGAGAGGGCTGGTATTTATTTTTTAATTCAGGAGAGATATTAGAGATTATGTTACATTCCAGGACAAAGAAAACCTTATCAGATAAAATGCTACTTAGCAAGGAAAATTAGTGCTATTTTCCCCTAGTATGATAAGTCATTTAATGTTAGTGTGAGGTAAACCTCCTCTGATAATCCAACAGTAAGTTTGTAAAAGATACTTAAAGGACCCAAAAACTTACTCCCTTTCAGCTGTTGTTCCAGCTAAACCATTTCAGCTTTTGCCCATGTACCGCCAAAATGTGGAGCATGTTCAGAGTTTGCCATATTATACATAATGTAAACTAATAAATACCATTTCAAGGACAAGGGTCTGGATTCCCTAGACTACAGCAAAGAGTACCAGCAGTGTCTTGGGGGCATCCTGCCTCCTTGGAGGGTATCACTGATTTCTCAGATCCTCTGGCTGAGAATGTTTATGGAACACTCAGTTTATTCAGTGATTTTTTTTTTTTTTGACTCCTGGGACAAGCTTTCAGGACACTGTCTATCCCTGCCATAGGGGGAGAGCCTCTCTGGTTTTCTTAAAATTCCAGTTACAGTGGTGACACATTAATCCTTACTCAGTGAATGTTCCATACCCATGTCCAACAGATCTTCCCACATCTAATGAAGTTGAAGCAATTTTTTAAACCTTGTAGTTCAAGAAGACAGCCAGATAAACATGTGGCCAGAAGGAACACAATGTGTCAAGGACATTTCAAGACTTCGTCTATCAACTCTGAGGGTCTGACCACTGCTTCCCAATCCCACATCCTGAGCCAACCCACCTTATAACCTCATTCAAATTACTTCCCACTGAAAGGCTTGAATTTTCCTAACACTTAACATTGTCATAATCAAGTAATTTGCACTGATGCTTTCTTGTAAAATTGTCTTCCTTCCTTTCCTTACTTTCATTTGTCTATTCAATTCTTAACTGTGTATCACCATTTTCCTTACCCGACAGCTGCTTCTGGACCTTATAACTATGGTTAGTTACTATATCTTCTTTTTCTCAGCCCTACCAGTACTAGTAGCATGGAGACTTCGAAGAGCAGATGGTCAACTGATATTTAGGGAATAAAACGGCCTATGAGCACACAGGCTTAATTTATTATGACTTAAGTCTATATTTTAATAAACAAAGAAAATAAGTTTACTTGTATATTTTAATTTTATTAAATACAGAGAAAATGCTTAAGAAGGCAAATATTAACCATACTATCTTTGTTTCTTTTTTTCGTATATTTTACTGTTGAAGTTTTAAAAATACATTTAAAGAATGCTTATCCCAATTACATCTTATCTTGTAGATCATTAGCTAACACAGAAATTTCTCCAAATTCTTTTACTAAGCAATGAAACCCTTACTCTCAAAGCTGGTAAACACGCATGAACAATAATACTGATGAAGCTGCTTGCAGTCTTACATGAAAGGAGCATTTGAGGAAAAAAAGAACAAACACAGATAAATCTCCAAATTACTGAAACAGAACAGGAACAAAGATATTACACACTGTGTTCCCTCTAGTCATAGGCAGCCCACCTCTACCGTTTCACTGACTGCCCTCTTGGACTACAAAGTAAAAAAAAATTACTTCAACTTCACCAGGTGTGGGAGGATCTGTTGGCTGTGGCTATGGAACATTTACTGGCTACGGATTAATGTGTCACCAGTTGTAACTGCAGCTTTGGCTCTTTCTTCCTCATCTTTCAAAGCTTCATTATAGCAGGAGTGGAAGGCACTGGGAACTGTATGATTGATCTTAGCCAGAAACTCCAGGATTTTCATCTTGCTTGTCTCCGCAAGAGATCTTGAGCCCCAAAGAAATTCATATCTTGCAGGATTGCTGTTAGGTACCTGCCGGTACTCCAGGTATTTGAGCTTCACTAAATCTTGAGTGATAAGCTTCCTGGGTTCCCCAAAAATGAAATGGCTCTTTCCATCATATATTTTCATCTTATTCAGGAAATCCCAAATCATCTCTTCTGTGGCACAGTTTCCTTTCAGTAGTATCACACCGAGGAGATTCATCAGGAGGCCGGTCTTGGGTAAGCCCTTGTGTTGACTCAGAGCCCCATTGTTAGGGAGATTCATTTTGCTGACAAAAATGTAGGAATCCTTCGCAGATGCTATTTCCTTTAAATCCACACCAAACACCACTTCCATGTTGAAAGCAACTCTTTTGAGGATCTCAGGGAAGTGTTGTCTATTACTTTTGCCTATCATCTTCAGCACATCTGCCTTCAGAATGGGCTTTTTCATTTTGTACATACGCAACATGAACGTCACCACCAGACAGACAGAGCTATTCAGAGCGCTTCTACCATGCTTCACAGTGGAGGATGAGGCCTTGGAAGAGCTTTGCTTTCTTTTAATTTTGCCTTTGGCTCTTTTACGTGATCTTGGAGGAGAAACACTCTTAGACTCAGTAGTGGAAAGAGCACTCTGAGGAAGCTCAGGAAGGATTTGTGCCTCACAGTCAGCCCCTGTATGGGTAGCAACCTCCAAATTAGTGGGAGATGGAGAAGGATATCTTTTCTTCTTTGATACAGGGGCCTGAGCACTCAGGAAATCTTGGGTCTTACCTCCAGTCTGGTGGCCTTTCTTACAGACACTGCCTTTTCTCTTTTGTTTCAGAGGCATGATGACTGTACTCTGGAACAGCAAGAAGCAGTGTGGGCTAGCAAGCGTGTGATGCAGTCACCTGGAGAGAGAACATAATTGCATAAGTACCTCTGGCAGTGAGAGATCTTTTGGTTGTAGGTTTCTGTGAAAACATTACTCTAGAAACTCATAGGACTCCTTTTCTGTTCCGCCTGTCCTTTGAGAACCCTATGGAACTAATTAAAGTGGACCTTGGACTGCAGCCTGCCATCTCTGCCTGGTGTATACTAAGAATGACCATGGTGGTGGCACGTCTAATTCTGTTGGGTCTCCTGCTGTGGGGAAAAGGCTCTCAGTTTACATCCAATGCCATTATTGTTTCAACAGTTGGCAATGTCTGGGCCACCCTCCCGGTGCTGCACTCATTTTTTACAACTCTACCGAATATCCTCATTTCCCTAGGCCCCCTAGATCTAAGAGTTGACACAGGCTCACTGAGGTCCTCAGTCCTCATTTGGGGGCCTCACTATGGCTCCTGGAAGGACCTGATGCCCCTCCCCTCAGATAAGATTCCCCAGAAGGTTAAGGCCATTAAAAAGAAAGTACACATATAACTGACCGCCAAGCCTGAGCTCTTCAGGGTTGCAAAGCAGGGGTGCGAGAAGGGGACTCTAGGCCATGACTTATTTTTGGTACCTGCATAATAGCACTGTCCTTCCTTCAGGGTGCTCACTTAGATTCTGGTAAGGCTCTGGGTCTCCTTACTCTGATGATTTGAAGCATACAATAAATGTAGCTTATATTATCTGGATGGAAAAAAAAAAACAAAAAAACAGTGTGTTCTGACCTTTTCCTGTAGATTCCCAGGACTGAGAATAGGGCAGAAAATAAGAAAACACATTTTTTTTTTGGTAGAGTAGCCATTTCCCTCAGTCCTCATTTAAACTCTCTGACCTTGACTTCCCACAAGTGTTGAAATGCCTCATTTCACCAACTCCCTTCCTCTAGCCTGATAATATAACAAGGCCTTGGTCAGGGCAGAGTCTCCCACATAAGAATACTGATGCCCAGAGCCTCGCAGAAATGAGTGCAGGAACACTGCTTTGTGTTTCTACCTTGACTGGGAAAGGATCTCCTCATTAGGACTCAAAACCTTCAACCTGACTATAGTTAACATCTGGAGATCTCCAAACTACTGGGTCTTGGCTGATTCCTTAGATAATTCTTTCCTCCATGAAATTTTCCACCCAAAACTTAGTATGACAGTTTACTGATGCCACACAGGGCCAGGGCTATCCCAGAGTGGGCAGAATTGGTGGGATTCCTTCAGTTGTAAGAGTGCAATTGGTCTCCCAAGCTCAAATTCTGGGTCATAATCTTAAATTCTGATGAATCTTGGAACTTAACCTCAAGTTGATTAGATGCTGGGACTCCAATATAAGGTCTTACCTCACAGTGGAAGTGGTGATAACCTACATCCTACCACTACTGCCCGAGGTCTCTCAAAACCGACCACAGGGATGTAATACTAAGGAATCTCACTATTCTAGAATCCATGCTCCCTAGGTCCTCAGTATGATACCTAGCCAAGCCAGGATTCTGCACTGTACTGACCATAGTGACTTGGAATGAAGCCTCCACCTTCTTCAGTCACCATGCAGTAATCTTCTCACACCTCAATGAGGACCCCAGATAGAGCTTTTTATGCATGATAGGAGATACAGGACTTTGAGCCACCCTATACTGGGAATAAGACTTTTAATCCTCACTTAGGAACCGTCAACTTGATTCCGACTTTTTTTCTTCTTTGAATTTTTGAGACAGGGCCTCCCTGTAGCCTGGAATTTGTTATGTAGACCAGGCTGGCTTCATCTTACAGAGACCCACCTGCCTCTGCCTCCAGAGAGCTGATATTAAAGGCATGTGACACCACACCCTAAGATCTTTTCTGTAGAACCTCACTGCCCAACTGCTGTTACATCCCATTATGCTGCTTCCTATGACCTTCCAGGCAGAAATGGGGAGTATTATGTCATCATGGAATTCAGTCCACTGACTTAAGGGAATGGGTTCTCTGTCCAAAGAGCTTTCTTTCTACCAACCCAAGTTCACCAGCCACCTATACAGTCCTCCTCTTCTTTTGTCCTTTGAATGAGTGGCAATCTATATATGCTACAAAGGAGTACAGCTTTCCCTGAGGCTTTTTCTGACAGGGCTTGAAATGGTGTTGGGTCTTTTGACATCCCTCTCTTTTCAAGAGTGGAATGGCAGAGCCAGGGCATTCCTCACTGTTCTCACTGAAGCCTTCAGTGTCCAAAAGAAGCCTCACCTTCCTAAGTCTCAGAGTTCACAATCCAGGCAAGCCAAAGCTTCTCAGCCATAAGAACAGGGGCAGAAGTCTTGGAGAATTGTTTAGGGGACAATTCGTCTAATCTCATCCTTTCAAGGGCCTCTCAGTTTGACTTTCATATTGAACAAGAGCTTTCCCTAGCAGAACTGGGATCCCATCCATAAATTATATTCTATCAAGCTGCTTGATGTGATCTTCCACACAGAAATGGGGAAAACATCAAACTCTTTGCTGGTTTCACAGAAATAGATTCTGTGCAGTGGGAATCCTTCCTCATCTGAACCAAGACTGCTACCCTCAAACACACTCATCTTGCTTAGTTCTTATACCAGCAGTCTAAATATCCTTTAAACTTATTGACCAACACCAATGACTGGACCTAAGTTTTCCCTGCTTTACAGAACTGGAAACGGAGTTGAGTGTTTTGATGGCCTCCTCTTTTAGGAAGTGGCATAGCAGAGCTAGGAATTCTCCATTTTATTTACCTGAATCATAGCCTCCAAACAAAGCTTACACCTTCCTCATCACATCTCACCTGATGCTGCCTGCTGGAGGCTCTCAGGCCTCACAAGGAGGGTCATAATGGAGCATCCTCAATTTGGAGACAAGTTTTCTCATTAGCACTTGAGGCCTCTCAGCTTCACTTAAAAAAAAAAACCAAGAACCTTCCCTTACAGAACTGGGGCCCTATTGTATCCCCTTATGCTGTTTGTTGTGACCTTCCAGGCAGAGGTAGGGAGCACCGAGAAAATTTATCTGCTGCCACAACAGAATGGAATCTATGGATACTGGGATTTCTCCCACTACAGACTCCAGTTCACTAATCTCAAACATAGTCCTCAGCTTTGGTAGTTATTAGAGTGAAAGTCAAGGTATTTTACAATGATAATCACTTTTGGGGACCTCACAGGCCTAGAAATTAGCCTTCTTTCATTCCCCTTTTGGGGAGTAATCCTGATTACCAGTAGTTCTCACCTTGACTACATTTAGGGCCAAGATGAGTCATCCTGACAGATCTAGTACACTCTGTTAGCTCAGATCTCCTACTTCCTGACATCATCCAGGAGAAAACAAGTGGTAGTTCAGTCTTATACCTTTCCCTCAGTATCCCAAGTTTGAGAATAGGAGCAGGAACATGTTAAGTCCCCTCTTCTATGTTTTAGTAATTAATTCTTCCTCTCTCAAAAACCTCAACTTGCTCCTGACCCTCTCTGGCACAAGATCTGCTCAAATATGGTCTTTCCTTACTAAAATCTTCCAGTTGGAAATTACCATGAATGACATTGAGCTAGGGATGTTCTGGTCTTGGGAGAGGTGACAGTAGAATCAGAATTCTAAAAGACACAACTGTCCTTCCCCAAATAGTGTTTGTTCTGGGCTTCTGCTATGTAACTTAACCCCTGCTACACAGAGGTCACCCTCCTTAGTCCAGCCAATGCGCTCCCTGAGTACAAAAAAAGGATACATGGCATGCCTATACTGTCTGGGGCAGTCTACAGTTTATAGCAGGTTTGCAAACATCTCTAAATAAGGTCACATATTTTATGGTGAGATACATATTTTCCTCATCCATTCATTGGGGCAGGGCTATTTTTCTCTTTTGTCCTGAAGGTTTCTTAGAAAACATATCATGTCTACAAACTCTTGTGTCCATACTGCAAGTTTGAAGGCCCATGTTCCAAGCCTGGAGTGAGATGTGGATGCTGCTATACCAGGCAACAGGCTCAGACCAGATCATCCTGAGAAGGTAGAAAAAATGAATACTGTTGTATCCATCTTGCCAATAGTCAGTGTGAACTTGTTTCACCTTCGTTTCAATAGGTTTACCTATCTCAGAGAAAGGAGGTATTCAGGAGGCTATGGTGTTAACTAAGTTTGAGATTACTTGATTTGTGTATGTGGGTATTTATATTGTCAGTGTATATCATAGTTTTCTTCATTTGAGGAGAAGTTTCACTTACGGTAGTACTTTTAATTGTTTCAACTCTGCATTCTAATTCCATTCCTTTAGGCACAGAACTTTTAAAAAATATTTTATTTAAGGGCCTGAAGGGATGTCTCAGTGGTTAAGAACACTGGCTGTTCTTGCAGAGGACCAGGGTTAGAATCCCAGCACCCACATGTCAGCTAACAATGGTCTGTAACTCCAGTTCCAGGGGATCTGATGCCCAATTCTGTCCTCTGCGGGTGTTGCACAACACAGTGCAGTTACCTGCATGCAGGCAATACATGCGTACACATGAAAAATCAAAATAAATAAAATACTAAAAATATTTATTATTTTTATTCTAAAGAAAATATTTTATTTATTATTTTATGTGTATGAGTGTATTGCCTGCATATATTTAAGTGCACCTATGTTCTGCAATGTTGGCGGAGGTCAGAAGAAGGCATCAGATCCCCTGGTACTGGAGTTACAGACAGTTGTTCGCTGCCATGTGGGTGCAGGGAATCAAACGCCAGTCCTCTGCAAGAACAGCCAGTGCTCTTAACTGATTACCCATCTCTCAAACCTTAAGGCAGAGAAATTTTTAATACCATAGGGAAATTAGGCTTAAGAGCAATGAGGATGTGTGGGGTTTTATTAATACTGCTGACAATATTGTACAGCACGATGGAAATTTTCTATGAAACTTTTGGGAATATCTGAAAGAAAAGGATACAAGGTCTCAGGCAGTTTGTGATCCAG